TGTTTCTTATTCAAAAAATTGCACTGAGATTTGTGCCATTAAAACTCAAAAAGAAAGTCATGGCGTCTAGCCCAATTAAAATAATTCATATATAAGTATGTGAGTACAAATTCACACTTTTTTTTTCACAACTTGGAGGGCAGTGTTATTATTTTATATCAGATACAATAGTTATCACTATACAACTTGTAGAAAAATAAATGTGTTAAGAACAATCATTGTATTCTGATTATGACGTTCATAAACAGTGGCTACTAGTTTTGGTTTTTTAATGAATAACTTTTCCAACCGTTTGATCGAACAACCCATATTTGTCATACACCTTCATCATAGGGTTATTTTTAAGAATTTCCTTGATTTATTATGAAAACAATATTAATTAAAGTTAGTGTATAATAAAATAAGAAATAAAATAAACAATTAAGTGATAAATAAAAAGAATTACTTGATATAAAAAAAAATACTATTTTTTATCAATCTTAATAATTTAAAGTTATATATAATATTGAATTCTAATATATTTTAAGTATATATTATATTAGTATATTTTCTTAAGAAGCCGCCTCATGAGTTAACCATTCAGGCAAGGGTTGGGTTTAGCTTGGCTTGTTGGAACATTGGGCTCAGCGCAAGAGCCATTAATCAAATAGAGCCCGAACCAATTCACATGTCAGCTCAGCTGAGTTATACTCATCTGAATCTAATATGAATATGAGCTACACTTGAATATAATCAATTGTAATTTAATATCGATATAAATGGGTGCATTGTTATATTAAGATTAGAGTTGCTAAAATTAAAAAGAAAATCAAAATAATAACGCCCATATTTGCTGTCCGAAAAATATGTCGAAGTGATCATCTAAACTAAAAATGTATTTTCATAAATTTGGATTCAAGCGCTCATCTCTGCCTGAAAAAATTTGATCTAATACAACTTAAATGAGGCAGAGGAAAAAATGTATCGGGCCAAGGTAAATATTATCAGATCTGAAAGCCCACAAAACCTGCATCATCTAAGCCTCTAAGCCTCTTAGGGCTTCATTTCATGCAGCTCTATTTGCATAAATTTTTCGATAATAATTTGATGAGATTTTTACAAAATGTAACACACAAAATATTGCTATTTACACATCTCATGCATCAAACTTTAATATTACAAAATCTTCTTCCGTTAACGTCATCGTTCATGTGCGATCAGCTCTGGCAGCGAGCCCTACAACTCTCATCATTCTGCTTCCTCACTGGGAAGACAGTGACATGATCGTGACAAAAAAGACATCTGAAATTCCCATCATCTGA